AAAGAAAAAAAGAAAAGTTGTTAGACATTGGACAGATCTACTGCACCATTCAGGAAAAAAAAAAAGAAAAAAGAAAAAAAGAAATACATGCATAGAAAACAAATACATGAAAAAGACAAGGTAATTATTAACTATAAGACAAAACTGTACGAGAAAGGAAATATAATTCTAATATGCAACTTGTATCAGCAGAAACAGTTATTATAATGTAAAAACTGACAACTAGATTTAACCAAAAATTGTGGAATAATTTACTAGTCAACAGTGAAGATACTGTCTAATTAGAAATATGGAAGTAAATACTAGAAGTGACAAATAAAATGACAGGACTGGTGGAGTGTGGCAGACAGAAGATTGAAGTTTTTTTCCTCCTTTTTCTTTTTTTTTGAGATGGAGTCTCAGTCTGTCACCCAGGCTGGAGTGCAGTGGCGCAATCTCGGCTCATTGCAACCTCTGCCTCCCAAGTTCAAGCGACTCTCCTGCCTCAGCCTCCCAAGTAGCTGGGATTACAAGCGCGCACCACCACGCCTGGCTAATTTTTGTATTTTTAGTAGAGACAGGGTTTCACCATGTTGGCTAGACTGGTCTTGAATTCCTGACCTCAAGTGATCTGCCCGCCTTGGCCTCCCAAAGTGCTGGGATTATAGGTGTGATGTTTTTTCTATTCAAGTCTTCTAGGTCTGTATTTATTGAGTTACTTGGTACATGCCAGGCATAGCTTTCAGGTAGCTCTATGTACATTATGTCACTTTATCCTAATAAGAACTATGAATTATCCTCACTTACCAGATGAGGGAACTGAGGTACAGCGAGGTCAAGCAATTTGCTCAAAGTTGCACAGCTAAAAAGCGGTGGTGCTGGGAACTGAATCAACCAGTCTAGCTCCAGAATCTATGCTATACCTTGTAACTAACTGGCTATGGGGTAAAGTAGGGTGGAAAATATTCTGGTTTTAATCCTGGGTTGCCAAAAGCTTGGTTAGGTCATTCATAGAAATTCTGAAGTCAGACAGAAGTGCGGGATCCTTCAGGGAAGCTGAGCAGTTTGTGTTTAGAATTACTGATTAGATGTCGTCAAGGAGAGCCAGGTAAAGAAAGGGTTGTGGAGGGGGTCAGCAATGCTGACTAGGAGAGGGTGGTGAGAGTTAACCACGCCACATCATTCTTAGATTTTTTTAATGTACTGCAATAAATATAATCATGTAATGCTTAAAGTTTTTTTGTTGTTTTGAGACAGGGTCTCACTCTGTCACCCAGACTGGAGTGCAGTGGCACAATGAAGGCTCACTGCAGCCTCTACCTCCTGCCTCAGCCTCTGCTTAAACTTTAGAACTAAAGATCAGTATCCTATAACATTTTGCTCCCTCGCTTGCCAAATCATATTCCTCCTAACTGCTGATTTAATCATCATTTCAAATGGGTCAAATTTTAAAGGAGTAAAATAATATACTCACTTAGGATGAAAATCAGGCCTGAACCCTTCAGGGAGCTGTAACTCATCCATATTTTCTGAATTCTTTGTAGGCGCATTATCTATAGAAACAGGCATTTTATACCATTATTCAATACATGACAATATTCCTAAAAGTATAGCCATATAGGTCAAAGAAATTAAAAACAACAGGAAAAAAATTCCCTAATAAAAACTGGCATAACGACCATATGAAGCATGAAAACACTATTGCTCTAGTTGACCAAGGCCCTTTCTTATCTATGCTTTTCCTTACAGTACAGCCACTAAAATGAAAACAAGAGTAGCTATTCTGTTTCTATGAAAACCAATGATATAAATTCTGTTCATACTACATTCCCACAAGGTCATAAGTGCAGTGCATGGTCTATGAAACTTGGGAAGCCTTTGGTAATGCCAACAGTAAGGTGAGTTAGCCCACCAAGAACTGAAGCTAGCTCTGCAACACTCAGTTACATCTCCCCCACCTCCAGAAGCTCTTCAATAAAATGGGGGAATAAGTGAGAAGTGTTTGTTAGAAACTTCACATGAGCTTGTGTGTTTAAGGAATTAGGAGTAATGCAGTAAAGTCAAATTTAGTTTATTAAGACAATGAAAATTAGAATGAGTCAAAATTTTAAGTGGGAGGTTTCACTTTTAAACAATTTCTTCTGGAAATACATTTTCTGATGACCTCGGACTTTAGGGAAAAATGAAAACAGGTTACCGGAACTTACTAGGAGTACTTTCTTCTTTCCTAAGAAACTGTAATGCTTTTATTTGCTGAGATATTGTTCTAATCCACTGAGTCAGATTTGGTTGGTCTGAAAAATTTAACCTGCTAGAAAAGATTATAGAGAGTATTTAGTGTTTTATTATTGTTCCTTAAGATACAAAAGACTCCTTAAATGATCACAGGCATATTTTAGACACATTCCAAATATTAAAAACAAAAAAGATAAGGGAAAATTCGTTGCATTAAAAAAATTAGGATATTGGCCAATGGAAATGAATATATTATTTGTCAATATGATGGTAATAACACTGTGTATTAAAAATCTCACTCTTCAGTACTGGAATTTGCTAGAATTTCTTAAGTATCATAATCACCATCACTATTAATATCTACCAAGTGCTTATTATGTTACAAGCATTTAGTGAAGCATTTTACTGTAAATATCTTATGGTATTAGACTTAATCCTCAAAATATCCCTATATTTTGTTTCAGGTTGTAGTATTATTGCATAGGTTGTATCCCTATATTGTATTATTTGTATAGGTTGTATTACTACATTTTGTAATAGGTTTTATTATTATCCCCATTTTACAGATGAGGAAACTGAGGTTTAGAGCTATGTAACTTGACTAAGGCCGAATAAGGGACAAAGCTAGCATTCAAATTTGGCTCTGTAAGATTCCAAAGCCTGTGTATTTTTATGATTATATTCGAATATGACTAAACCATAATTGAATCTCATGGACAAAACCCAAAAAGTGGACCAATAAAGTGACAGGTGAAATCCAACAAGAACGTTTTCTTCTTATACACAGTTAATCCTCAATCTAACAATAATCAATTTCTTTATCAGTTCAAATGCAGATAAGTACCATGATATTCTTCTATAATTAAAAAGCATGAGCTTACACTCAAATCTACTAATATTTTAAGAACATTTTGTGGTAGCATAGACTAAGACACCAAAGTTTGAACTCCTAAAACTGACAAGAAAAAACTGACTTTGCTTTGAACTGAATCCAAGTAACACAGAAATGGATCATTTATACTCACATAACTTAATATTTGTGCATGCAAGGTAGGCAGCATAATTCTACATTGAGAAATGAAGTTCAGATTTGAATAGCAGACATTATCAAATTCATACTTGAAATGAGTATGTCCAATACTTATAACTAAAAGCATCCAAAAAATTATGAAGTTACAGAAATTTTCCATTTTATTTTTTTTCGTCTGCTAGACAAATTCTAAAAGAGCTAAAAATATGGAACACTTCACAAATTTGTGTGTCATCCTTGTGAAAGAGCCATGCTAATCTTCTCTTTATCGTTCCAATTTTAGCGTATGTGCTACTGAAGCAAGCACTTATCTTATTTTTGAGACTGGGTTCTGCTGTGTCACTCAGGCTGAAGTGCAACGGCATGATCAGAGCTCACTGCAGCCTTGACCCAAGCGAGCCTCCCACCTGAGTCTCCCAAGTAGCTGGGACTATAGGCATACGCCACTACATCCAGCTAACTTTTTATTTTTTGTCCAGACAGGGTCTCATTATGTTGCCAAGGATGGTCTTGAACTCCTGGGCTCAAATGATCCTCCCACCTTGGCCTCCCAGAGTGCTAGGATTATAGATGTGAGCCACAATGCCCAGCTGAGATTTTTCCATTTAAAATATAGCAACAGATTTTCACTTTTTTGCCTGGTTCTTGAAACTATGAATGGCTAGTACATTGCAAAAAGTTTTATACGATTTTCAGACTGTCCTATAAAGTCAGTTTGAGTTGTTCCATCTCCCCCTACCAGTTTACTGAGCATCTCTTGAAAAGTGCATGGAAGATATTAAAAGTAGGGTCCTTAGAAATAAACCAGATACTTGGTTTTCATAAATACACAGGAATTTTATAGCTTAGAAACTTAAATTTTCACCTGCTCCTCTCTAAAAACTAAAATGATATTCCACAGGTCTGCTAGAAGAAAATGACCAGAGTTTGGAAAGTATCTGGAAAACACTATGCAACTGCCTACGCTAAGTCTTCCTCCCTGATTTATTATTTCATTATCTTCAAAGCAAACTATGGCTTTGTTATGAGTTGTCATGAGCCAAAACTTACTTGTTAAAAATATTTCTTGGAGGAAGCAGCAGAGGAATAACAGTATTACTCAAGCATTCACAAAGGGGGCAAAGGAATTCTCCGTTTTCTACATCATAGCTTGTATGTAAGCGTAATCTCTGTTGCCTTCGCTGTTCTTTAGCTTGAACGGAATCAAAATACCTTTACAATTAGAGAACATGAGGTATCAAAACAATGGTAATTTATATAAATGACAGCCACAAGCTTCAACATTTTAAATAATTTGTTTCCACAAATAGTTCAAAAATGAAAAATCTTAAACTAAATTATTTTTAACATGATTTTTGAGTGATTTTAAAAATCCAAATGGATTAAAGGTTCTAAAACAGGAAAATAAAAAAAAAGACTGCCATGTAAAAAAGCATTTACAGAGCAGCAACAAAAATTTCTTGGTGCCACTGTTCTCTTGCCACTTCCCCAAGGCTGGTGGCTATTTGTTTGTTTGTTTTTTTGAGATGGAGTGTCGCTCTATCACCCAGGTGGGAGTGCAGTTGCACGATCTTGGTGCACGGCAACCTCCACTTCCCACATTCAAGCAATTCTCCTGTCTCAGCCTCCCAAGTAGCTGGGACTACAACGTGGTGGCTAGTTGTTAGGGGTAGTTCATAATAACTGGGTGAGCATAGTTCTAGAATAATATTGATTTGTTGGTTTTGCAGAAGCATAGAAAACACCAAGGTAGAACAAATTCAGGACATCTCATCTTATCATAGGGAGCCAGTAAAATTTTGGGAAGTAACAAAGCAAATATTAACATCTATGGAATCAAGAGTTGTCCACCCTGGACCCAAAGAAAGACAACATTACCCTTCTAGGGTTTATCCTACTGTAAAAACCCTTTTCTTCATCCACAGACTGACACAGATCCACTTCCTTCTTTGGAAGATAAAGAAGAGACTTGGATATAAAGCTAAATTAAAAAATATATCTGACATACTTTACATCTATGACAAGGCAAATAACTTTTGTTATTAGGCAAAAATATAGATTTTTTTCTTCAACATTTTTAGTTCTTTTCCTTTTTTCTAGAATAAAATTTCCTCTATGTTAAAAATTTTGAGCCCTTAAACTTCTCTTGAAAATATTAAGCACATACATTACCTTTGCCAACAATGGGCATGCATAATGTGCCCACAGCTACTAGTGTGTGTTCCACAAGACAGATCAGGGTGCATGAATAATGGGTCATATTTTTCTGCATTACAAAACAAAAACAAAAACAAAAAACAAAACAAAAAAGTGAAGCATTTAATTTTCCTATAACAAATGTGCAACTTTAAATTGTAAAATCTTTGATAAAGACTTGTAAATTTGAAATGAAATGCTAGTTTATTCCTTTTGAGATACCAATAATTTATGCAAGACCTTGGATTATTCAGAAAGCAGGACTCTTAATTTTCACCATCCACAGCAAATTAATTAAACATTCTCAAATTATAAACTGAAATTAGAACTATGAATTTAAATATATCCAATCTTTTGAACATTTCACACTTTCAGGGTACTGAGGTATTCCAATTCCTCCCATTGTACTCTGAACTCCAGGTAAAAGAGCTACTCTCTTCACCGGGCTGCCTTACGTGCGTTCAGGACAGCTGGGTTACAATGATCGCTAATAAAAAATGTTTTGGCAGTAATGGGGCGCCCCCTAGAGGACAGACTGCTTAACGACACTCATACAGCAAATAATCACATCAGAGCCGAAGTGACAACAGAAAATCTAAGCATAGACCAGATCAGATGGGGAAAAAAAAAAGTAATTCAGAGTCTTCTGTCCTGGTGTCCTGGTGCTAATTTTTATATTCAAATGGGATGAAAAATCAAGAAAAACAAGATAGATGTCTGGCTTCTTTTGGAATTTTTTGAATTCTTTATATAAATTAGTATAATCTTAGAAATTTCCTAACACTCTAGAAAGAATTATTTTTAATTTGCTTTAATAGTTTTAATTTGCTTTAACACTAGAACAGTGCAAATGTCAAAGCATTAAGAAAATCCACTTATAGCCAGCTAATGCTTTTTCTTCAAGAAGTAACAAATTAAATAAAATTAACAACTCTGTCTTTGGCCTGGAATGAAATTTATAAAGCACCAAGTTTAAATGGCTATTTCTTTTTTTTTTGGCAGAGTCTCGCTCTGTCGCCCAGGCTGGAGTGCAGTGGTGCCATCTTGGCTCACTGCAAGCTCCTCCTCCCGGGTTCAGGCCATTCTCCTGCCTCAGCCTCCTGAGTAGCTGGGACTACAGGTGCCTGCCATCATGCCCGGCTAATTTTTTTTCATATTTTTTAGTAGAGATGGGGTTTCACTGTGTTAGCCAGGATGGTCTTGACCTCCTGACCTCGTGATCTGCCTGCCTCGGCCTCCCAGAGTGCTGGGATTACAGGCGTGAGCCACGGCACCTGGCCTTTAAAAAAAAAAAAAAAAAAAAGACAGGGTCTTGCTCCGTCGCCCAGGCTGGAGGGCAGTGGTGCAATCTCAGCTCACTGCAACCTCCACCTCCTAGGTTCAAGCAATTCTCGAGCCTCAGCCTCTTGAGTAGCTGGGACTACAGGTGCGCACCACCACATTCAGCTAATATTTTTGTACTATTAGTAGAGACGGGATTTCGCCATGTTGGCCAGGCTGGTCTCGAACTCCTGACCTCAGATGATCCACCTGCCTTGGCCTCCCAAAGTGCTAGGATTACAGGCATGAGCCACCATGCCCAGCCCAAATGACCATTTTTAAAGATGAAGCAGACCAATCTTTAGTAAGTAGGATACAAAGACTTTCTTTAAAGAGAGAAGGCAACTCTAAAAGTGGCTCTCAAACCTCCTTTCACACTGCAGTGTGAAAGGCATGGGCTAAAGAAATGCTCTGGGAATTTCCAAGACACAGTTCCTACTCTCAAGAAGTTTACTGTGTATTGCTCAAGCATATGCACACAGAGCACAACCTACAAGCAGAGAAATAAATGTGTCAGTGGTGGACAAAATCATGTACAGACTGGATCTCCCTGCTTTACTTCCTCAGTTGCTGAAAGAGGGCCCTCAACTGTCCTGCACAGTAATCTGTATCTCAAGAATCTGCTTTCTGGGGAACCCGATCTGTGGTAGTATCACTATTCTAAGTCAGAATTTGGCTCAAGGATTGCCTCTTACATAGGTAACTCTCTATCACTGTTCTCAGGAGATTCCACTCAGGCTCTATCAATAAGACAAAGCAATTATTATTTCAGTGTGTCAACAAATGACCAAGGCTTTGCAAGTGTACTGAAGCATGGGAAAGACTGTGAAATGCCAAAGTATGTAATGTTACATCACAAAGAAAAGCTTTACTTTGAATCCCTGCTATTTATCAGCTATATGATTCAGGTATAACTTTCTGGAGTGGTTCCACATCTGCCAAGTGGGGAATTCCTGCCTAAGTTACCTGCCAAAGATACCATCCAAGTCTATGGAGTCATTCTTAGATTTAAAAAATCTCAATGTATCATCAACCACATTAACTGGCAGTTGTTATTAATTGGGAAGATGAGGATCTAGCTATGACTTACCTGGATCTTGAATAAATTTACTTCTGTTTTTTGATAATACAGTTGATCTCTGAACAAATGCTGCCAAGACCATTGCCCTGCTTTCCACTTTAACTTCTTGCTCCTCTTGACACAATATACATGTAACGAATTGTCTTTGTTCAGGAACCTGAGTTTGTGTGGGGCCCAGCGCTGTAAGTGTCATATCTGAAACCACAGGGCTGCAATACAAAGGTTATGAATATAATTAACGATCCCAAAAACTTTCTACATAATCATAAAATAGCAGACTACAGGTATGTATGTGTGCATATACATATATATCTATATATTTTTTAAATTTTATTTTTTTCTTTTTGAGATGGAGTCTCGCTCTGTCACCCAGGCTGGAGTGCAATGGTGCGATATCGGCTCACTGCAAGCTCCGCCTCCCGGGTTCACGCCATTCTCTTGCCTCAGCCTCCGGAGTAGCTGGGACTACAGGTGCCCGCCACCATGCCCAGCTAATTTTTTGTATTTTTTAGTAGAGACAGGGTTTCACTGTGTCAGCCAGGATGGTCTCGATCTCCTGACCTCGTGATCCGCCTGCCTCGGCCTCCCAGAGTGCTGGGATTACAGGCGTGAGCCACTGTGCCCGGCCCACTTTTATTTTTTATTTATTTATTTTTCTGAGATGGAGTCTTGCTCTGTTGCTTAGGCAGGAGTGCAGTGGCATGATCTCAGCTCACTGCAACCTCCACCTCCCAGGTTCAAGCAATTCTCCTGCCTCAGCCTACTGACTAGCTGAGATTATAGGTGCACACCACCACGCCCGGCTAATTTTTTTTTTTTTTGTATTTTTAGTAAAGACAGGGTTTCACCATGTTGGTCAGGCTGGTCTCGAACTCCTGACCTTGTGATCTGCCCGCCTCGGCCTCCCAAAGTGCTGGGATTACAGGTGTGAACCACTGTGTCTGGCCAGGCATGTATATATTTAACACATGGTTTTGATAACTTGGATTGTCAAGTCTTTGGTATGTATCAAAACCATTTCCTTTAATCCTCACAGCAATCTAATCTGCAACACAGATGTCACACACTCTAGATAACTGAGTGTAGTGTACTCATTCTTTCATGAATATCCAAGATCTTCTGCAGAAAATACCCTACTATATTACCATATCTATATTCAGAGATTTCTAAGATTAAATCTTCTAAATGGAGGTCACAAAATTTACCTATGAATTCTAATAAATTACTTTAGGTTTAAAAATATACTTACAAGGAAAAAAAGCAACACTGCCCCTAGTTGGGAACAACTGGTCAATAAATTAATTTTTTTTAATACCTATTATCAAGAACAGCAGAGGTTGAGGCATCCAGTTCTAATGTCTGCTGAAAGAGTTCTTTGTTTTCATCAATAAAATGCCGCTGCATTTCAGACATCTGAGCCATGATCTTTTCTCTGCGCAGTCTGGCAATCTCTGCTTTTCTCTTCCTCTCAGCTTTGTCTTTGTCCCTTGAACTCTGAAATTATGCTCCATTCAATTAGACCATTAGATGTTAAAACACACATTTTTTTCCAAAGCAGAAATATCTTTATTGTAAATACCAATTAAAAACTATTCTACAATCTCACTTAAACAAGAGAAAAGACTCTTAAGTTGACCTAACGTGTTTTAAAGGGAAAAAGCAGACAAAAAATTGCTACAACAAATAGAGATAAATAGTGGCATATTTGTTGGAATTTCAGTGTTGTAACTGGCAACTTACTGTAGATAAATTTAATTTGTTCATACTGAACTTGCTATAATTTTTTAGCATTATCACACTTTACTGTTTATACCTCTTCCATTATGGTTCCTTCTGTCTCTGCCACGGGACTGGTAGGTGAACTCTCCCTCATCTTTTTAACAGCATTAAAAGTCTACGAAAAAAAAAAAGTATCAGTATCCTGTATGAAATATCATCACAATGTACACGTAACAAATATTTAATATTTCTCACAAAAAGCAGAAGAATGTAGGAAATTTTACCTTCAATATCCACCGAATCATGTCTTTGTGGACTTCTAGGTAGGGAGCATTTTGTAGTGTTTCCAGCATAGCTAGTATGCTAGGAGAGTTTTTTGGCGCTTCACCAGGTTCTATGTCAGAAAAATAAAAGGCACAATAACAACAGCTAACACTTCATAGTACTTATTCCTATGCACAGGAACATAAATGCAGTTGCTTATAACACCTATTGCCCATAATTTGATTATGACTCTACCAGAGATTTTCAATACTTCTTGAGAATGTGACATATGTGCCTTTTACAAACAAGTTGCCAACAACTAGAATTCTTTAAGCATTCAAAAATGACTTTTAATAGCAAACGAATTTGCTAAAATGTATTTTAGCAAAATTATATACAAATTCAGCTAAAAATAACTGGTGTACTTGAGATTTTACAGGTCTAAAAATAAACTAGCATTAAGAGGTGCACATATGTACAAATATGTTTATTTGACCATTGCCTTTAATAAAAACTAGATTCAGAATAAAATGAATTTCTTCCCCTAGGAATTCACTGTTTATTTGAATATAAGAGTTAAGTCCATATTTTCTATTAGTCTGCAGTCAGAAATGTTCAATTATCGATTTTCTTGATTTTGGTGCTGCCATTCTGGAAAAATGTGCCTTTTTCCTAAGAGGGAAGAGATTGACCTTTGTGATCTTTAATATTCTATCACATCTAAAACTCTGTGGCATGCATTAGGGATGTGACTCTAGATAAGGGAGAGGTTTCTTTGCAAATAAATCGTGTGTCTTAATTATGTAAAATGTCTAAAGACAAATTAAGAGTAATGTTGAGGGAAAATGATGATCGTTTAATAAAAGGGAAAGAGAGAGTAAGAGAGAACCTATATTTTTTGAGACAGAGTCTCACTCTGTTGCCCAGGCTGGAGTGCAGTGGTGTGATCTCAGCCCACTGCGACCTCCACATCCTGGGTTCAAGCGATTCTCCTGCCTCAGTCTCCCGAGTAGCTGGGATTACAGGTGCCCACCACCATGCCCGGATAATTTTTGTATTTTTGGTAGAGACAGGTTTTGTCATGTTGGCCAGGTTGGTCTCAAACTCCTGACCTCAGGTGATTCACCCACCTCGGTCTCCCAAAGTGCTGGGATTACAAGCATGAGCCATCGTGCCTGGCCAAGAACCTAATATTTTACAGTGATGAGTGAATGAAATTAGGGAGTATTCTGTGTGGTTATCCTAAAATAAACACACCAGAAACAAAGAAAGCAAAAACCACAGTATTAATCCATAGAAACAATATGGTAGAGAAAAAGAATAGGTAAAAACTGGCATCCATGAATAAAGTGTTCAGTGGGGAAAGGTGGTTTCTCCTCTTTCTCTCATTTACTTGGATGAGGGCAAAAAGGAAAACTAGAGATCTAGAAGCAAACAAAATTACTCCTCCCTGTCCCCTGGTAGCGTAATTCTCACAGTTACCATTTAGGAAGAAATGGCATTGAACACATTTACAGAAATAATCCTTTTTAATCAAAGCATTTATAAACTCCTATCATAGCACCATAAATTCATTTAAAAACACCTCAGCAAATAGCTGACTACAGGTCTGTGGCAGGGAAAGTACAAGATGAGCTTGGGCATCTTTTGGGCCAGAAAGTGAGGTGGTACTTTCTGGCCCAAATGGGGCTGGGTGAAAAGGACACAGAAACCGACTAAATAAACTCCCACTGATCAAAGTGGGCATAATTTGAGCATCAAAAGGAATAATCATTATAAGTGACTATAAAACACTGAATAAGTAAAATGAATAATATTTTAAAAAACTCTAAACAAAAAACATTCAAAGTTGCCACAATTGCAGGTAACTATCAGGCCAATGGCTGATTATGAAAATTAGTAAATGAAAAGCTTTTCTTTGAGACGTGAAATATTATGTCTACAACAAAAGGTTCAAGAAAGTACGTAAATATAAAAGCAAATATAGCAAACTACTAAATCTAGGTAGTAGGTATATGAATGTTTACTGGACAATTCTTTCCACTTGTCTGTATGTTTGAAATTTTTAAAATAAAAAGCTAGAAAAACTCCCTGGCCTTCTTTCAAAAAGTCACATTTCTTTATATGAAATGACAATCTAATCCCCTAAAATTTTTATTTGTTTTCAATACTGTAGAATCTTATGTCAACCACAGCTGACTGTAACTTTGAACTTAGCCCTAGATATTTTTATAAAAATATAACAGGGTTTAATATAGTACCTTTACTACACAGATGAGTACATATAGCCTCAAACATTTAGATTAAATATTACCCTTTTAGAATCCATATGACCAAATAAGAGAGGCTGTTAAGTGATTTCTTAAAATCATTTATATCGAGTTAGTTTAGTAAAAAGATATATACATACTTGATATCTTCTGAGTGAAGGTAAATGTTACTACATGCTCTTCTGTGACATTCTCTAAATGTTGTTTTTCTTCTTGTAGTGCCATTCCAATTAAATGTAACACCTTGAATAAATGTTTTGTAACTTTTAGTAACAATTAAAAAAACCAAGCACATATTTTAATAAGAAATAGCAAAAAAGAATTATTGAAAAAGATAAATCAAACTATTAAGTACTAAATGCAATTAAAAACAATTTGAAGTACTAATTTTTTTTTTTTTTTTTTTTTTGAGATGGAGTTTTGCTCTGTCAACCCAGGCTCACTGCAACCTCTGCCTCCTGGGTTCAAGCGATTCTCCTGCCTCAGCCTCCCCAGTAGCTGGGATTACAAGCGTGTGCCACCATGCCCAGCTAATTTTTGTACTTTTAGTACAGATGGGGTTTCACCATGTTGGCCAGGCTGGTCTCGAACTCCTGACCTCAAGTGATCCACCCATCGTGGCCTCCCAAAGTGCTGGGATTAAAGGTGTGAGCCACCATGCCTGGCCTTGAAGTACTAATTTTTATTAAATGAAAAGACTGAGGTTCATTTTCTATTAAACAATAATTGGCAAGAAAAACAAAATTTTCTACTTCAATGAGGAAGAAATTTCAATCACAAATTCTTAGGGTAAGCTAAAATTACCACCACCTGTGACCAGCAATTCACATAATATGTAAGTTTTATTCTATACCTATACTACAGACTTTAAAAAACCTTCCAAGAATCAGTGGTCAAGTAAGTACAAAGCTAAAAGTATCCCCTATGTAATTATTTAGTCTATGACACTACATAGTTTAATTTCTCTAAGGACTAAATCTTCATCATCTGAGAAAGACAAACTTTTTATCTCTAATGCCTTATCATTTATAAACTTTAGAGTCCTTCAATGTATCTCACAAAATATTCTCCATCAGACTTCTAAGAGAGTGTATTAACCTATTTGTTTTTTTACTGCTATTACCCCATGCCCAAGTTTTTCTGTGTTTTTTGAGACAGAGTCTCCCTTGTTGCCCAGGATGGAGTACAGTGGCACAATATCGGCTCACTGCAACCTCCGCCTCCCAGTTTCAAGCGATTCTCCTGAGCCCTCCTGAGTAGCTGGGATTACAAGCATGTGCCATGATGATTGGCTAATTTTTGTAGTTTTAGTAGAGACGAGGTTTCACCATGTTGTACAGGCTGGTCTTGAACTCCCAACCCCAAGTGATCCGCCTGCCTCGGCCTCCCAAAGTGTTAGGATTATAGGGGTGAGCCACTGCGCCGGGCCCACACCCCAGTTTTTAAAGGAGATATGTGTGTGATGTCTCTGTATCTTTCCCTCCACAAGGGAAGACTGTGGTTGTCAGAGACTTGGCAGAACTAGGTGACATAAAGCAAATGTACACGTAAGGTAAATATTGTTCACACCTCTCTTCTCCATTATTTCCCACAAATCTTTTGTTCATGTAATGCTGACAGTATACGACAGCTAGTACAGCTGTACTAGTAATGAGCTAGTATACCACAGCTCCATGCTTTTACACTTTAAATAGGCTTATAAATAGGAGGGCATTACAAGAATACACACATCTTAGCCAGTGAGACAAAAAGAAAGAATGATAGCTACTAAGCCTTCTGAGGAAGGCTCCAAAATTTGAATCCGAATCCTGGTTTTACTGCTTTCAAGCTATTAATATAAACCCTCAGGGAATGCCTCTGAGCCCATGTCATCATCTTTAACACTGGAAAAAATGTTTCCCTCTAGAGTTCTGAGGATTACAAATGCTGTATGCAGAGTGCTTAGCATGGCCGGGCATGGTGGCTCATGTCTGTAACCCTAGCACTTTGGGAGGCCGAGGTGAGTGGATCACCTGATGTTGGGAGTTCGAGACTAGCTTGGCCAACATGGTGAAACCCTGTCTCTACTAAAAATACAAAAAATTAGCTGGGTGTGGTGACAGGCACCTGTAATCCCAACTACTCGGGAGGCTGAGGCAGAATTGCTTGAACCCCGGAGGCAGAGGTTGCAGTGAGCCAAGATCACGCCATTGTACTCCAGCCTGGGTGACAAGGGCAAAACTGTCTCAAAAAAAAAAAAAAAAAAAAAGTGCTTAGCATGGAATAAGGCATAAAGTAGACATTCTATTTAATGAATAATTGTTATATCACTTAGTAGAGTTATATGGGAAGTAAATGGAACCTCACTGAAACTTGGCTTCCTCATCTGACAATGAGAAGAAAGTTATATCTATTCATGGGGTGTTGTGTGAATTCAATGAGATAATGTAAGAATGGCTTACATTAAAACTATAAAGTAAAATACAAACAAGGGGCCGGGCATGGTGGCTCACGCATGTAATCCCAATACTTGGGGAGGTCGAGGGGGGAGGATTGCTTGAGTCTAGGAGTTCAAGACCAGCCTGGGGAACATGGCAAAACTCTGTCTCTACCAAAAACACAAAAATTAGCTAGGTGTTGTGATGCATGCCTGTAATCCCAGCTACTTGGGATACTGAGGTGGAGGGATCGCTTGAACCCAGGAGGCAGAGGTTGCAGTGAGCCAAGATCGCATCACTGCACTCCAGCTTCCTGGGTGACAGAGCCAGATCCTGTCTCAAAAACACAAAAACAAAAATAACACAAAAAAGGTTCCAGACTTGCCACATAACTAGCTAAAGGACCATAAGTCTATGAGTGCCAGTTTCTTCAACTACAAAATAAGGATATGGATGATTCAAAAAAAAATTTTTGTTTTGGAAAATAATTAGATTAGAAACATATATAAAAGATAACACAATACATCAATATCAGAGCACTACATATATAAAGACCAGGACCAATCAAGGAGAGAATGACTGCCCAGTGGGACTGAGGTAATAACAACCATGTGGTATAAAAAATCTGTCTGGCACTTGTTTTCACTGTCAGACACAAAAGCAGTAACAATATATTCAAGTTAGGAAAACACAATATGTTTCGGCCTCATTTTCCTCTGTATAGATACAGACAAGAATATTTTGCTTGTCCTATAAAATACTAAAATATAAATAATAAATGTCTTCAAACCTACCCTTTGCAGCATGGACTCTGACCAGGCATATCCATTATGTTCCACAGCCCATTGCAGAATTGTTCCCATGATGCACAGCATAACATCTGACTGCAAAATGTTAACCAGGCTTGCAAACAGAGGGCAGAATGGAGGCAACACTGGAGGTGGGAGTGCTGAAAATACAGTTGTTATTACTATCGGTTTCTTTTACAGAACATGCTTTAGAAACTATCCCTTTGTTACTTTTGATAGTTTTAACTAAAAAATATTCATTAACGCACACCTTAAAGCTATTATTTTACGTTCTCAAGGTCAAATCTGTAAAATGAGCCACATAAGTAGCAGCAGTACAAAAGAAAGTCTGTCTTTTCCCCTAGGAAGGTTTTAAGATCTGAGATAAAATCAAACCAGAGGAGACTTAGTACAAACTATTTCTATGTTAGCATATTTATTATTCCTTTGAATAGGAGGTTGTTCACTAGGAAAGCTTACATTTAAATATTCATTCCACCAAGGACAATCATCGTAGTTAATAGAAAACAATGTTTAACATGTAAAAAAGGGGCATGACATTTTTGGAAAGATTAAAAATACCTGTATCTTCTCTATTTTGTCTTTTCATTTTCCGTTGAGCTTCTTCTGCCTAATAAAAGATAAAGTTATTTGGGCAGGGAATTAGTAATATAAAACATATCCAAAACTAGTGACATAAGTCCATCTTTGTTGTATTATTTTCTTTTCTTTTTTCCCTTTGAGAGTCTCGCTGTGTCACCCAGGCTGCAGTGCAGTGGCATGATCTTGGCTCACTGCAATCTCCGACTCCCAGGTTCAAGAGATTCTCCTGCCTCAGCCTCCCAAGTAACTGGGACTACAGGTGCCCACCACCACACCCGGCTAATTTTTATATTTTTAGTAGAGACGGGGTTTCACTGTGTTAGCCAGGATGGTCCCTATCTCCTGACCTCGTGATCCACCCACCTTGGCCTCCCAAAGTGCTGGGATTACAGGCGTGAGCCACCGCGCCTGACTATTCTGTTTTCTATTCCTATGCTCTTTTTCTAATTATTTATAATAAGACTGACCGGAATTATACACATCCCATGATAGTAGATTTTACAATTATGAGAAAGGTATATAGAAGTAAATCTATAGCTTCTAGACTGAGAGGGAAAAGTTTCTACAGTTTTCTTTTTAGAAATGTAGGTACTTACATCTTCAGGTAAAGACTTTACCAATTCACTATGAGCCATAGGCTTGATACTCAACTGATGGATAATCTCTCGCTTGATTTCATCTGTAGCATTTACCTGTCCAACTCCAGGACTAAATCTCTCTCCTGTCAAAAATGAAAAAGTATATATACATACATTTAACATAATCACAATACTTTTGTGATATATACTTACAATTCATGCAGTATCTTATATTTCTCTAAGTCTGTCTGAGCAATGGGAAAGTAAGGACTGTTCTGGCAATAAGCCAGGGAGAGAGCAGCTCCTGACCATGCTTCTGTGTCTCAGACCCAACACGTGAGGGCAGGCTTTAGGCAGTGGAGAGAGCTCTTGTTGCCGAAGAATGGGATCAGAAATGTGAGAAGGGATTAAATGTGGTCAAGGAAACGGCATTTACCCCATTCTCCTTGTGGGAGCAAGGAGGGAGAGCCTTCCTTTCCCCTTCTATCTAGTAGCAAATAAAATATCAACTTTGGAGACCTTCTTCATTGGTATAATTTCCTGACAGTAGCCAGGATTCTCTGCTCTGTGGACTACGGCGGGTCTAAAACAGTAGTAAAGGACTGAAAATATAGGTAATAAGGAAAGAAATCCACATCTATTAGCCATAGGTCTCCTTTAGCTTGGAATTATTGTATCTGAAGTCAAGAAGATACTTTTGTACTACAAACCCATGGAGAGAAACATAGTTAAGATATAAATCAAGAGTAAATAGATCTTAAATATCCTATTCCTTGCTTGCTAAATTCTCCTGTCCCCCAATCCCCCTGCCACCACCCTGCAACATACAGTCTTCCAGTTTATTCTGCTTCGGTAGTTGTATTTTCTCCTTCTTCCAAAGCACCAAAGTGCTGTAACTCTCAATATTACAGTAACCAGAGGGGAGAAAAAGAGAAATATTCCAATTCTCTTACCCTAAGACTGAGTATCCTCTCAAAACAAGGGAAACACAGGCCAGAAATTCCAAACTATTGGCTACTATAAACGTCAATGTAATTTATTAAATGCCTCAATTTAAACTTACCAACAAGCATTATAATGAGGTATAGCATTTCTTCTATTAGAGTATTGTTCTGCTGAACAACATCCTATAACGAGTGAGGGAAGATAAAGTTCAGAGATAAGAATAGGCATATTGTATAATCTCAAAGGATTAACATATCCAAAAAGGAGGAAAGATGCTTCTTTAGCAATGTGTTGTGGTTTCATAAAACATGTTCTTACCTTATGGGTAATCTCAGAACTAAATCTTTTCCCATAGTCTGGAGTACTGAAAATCTGATAAAGTTCAAAGCGGCTGAGCATGATCATCAGGAAATGATTTGGATCCATCATGGAGACACCTGTCTTTTTTTTTTTTTTTAACGTTTGAGATAAAGGAAAAGAGGAAGGTCAAAGGGGCCACTATTGAAACAATTAGAGATAGTTTGGCTTGCACAAGAGAAAGCAGTTTACCAATTCTAAAAGGTTTACCAATCCCAATAAAAGATGAAAACTCATTTAACCTCAATCCCTACTTGTGGTAGCAGACAAGTGTGGAAAGGAATCTAAATTGGTAAAACAAAATACAAGCACACAAGCCCCAAACCTAAGTCCATCCAGCACAGTAATACGGACTATGAGTTCTCTTTCCTTCTAATGCTTTGAAATAATTGTATTCCTATGAATTCAGTGCCAAAATTTTATTTTGGCATTCACTGATCACTGTTTGAACTCGGAAATGTGGCAGATTAATGAACCTTCTAGTATTTTAAAAATATCGATCATATTAAATTATTATCAAGATCTCCTAACCTATTTTTTTCTGGTAAGCATTATACTAACTGAAGTGACAGCTTTTAAATATTAGTTTCAATTCTCTTTTAATTCCATTTGTATAAATTATAAATCAACCTAGATTTTGTTCTGAACTAATACTTTTTTGAAATACACATTTTTTCTACTTTATTTATGAAGTCTCACTCTGTCGCCCAGGTTGGAGTCCAGCAGAGTGATCTCAGCTCATTGCAACCTCCGCCTCCCAGGTTTAAGTGATTCTCCTGCCTCGGCCTCCTAAGTAGCTGGGAGTACAGGCGCATGACACCGCGCCAGGCTAATTTTTGTAATTTTAGTAGAGACAGGGTTTTGCCATGTTGGCCAGGCTGGACTCAAACTCCTGACCTCAGGTGATCCACCCGCCTCAGCCTCCCAAAAGGCTGGGATTACAGGTGTGAGCCTCCACGCCCGGCCAGCTTTATTTTTCTATAGTGACTAAATCCATTCAGCAGTAACAGAGAACAACTACTATGTGACAGGCACTATGCAAGGCCAAAGGGACAAAAAAAGAAACAAGACATAACTGCCATGGTTTGGTGGGGTGGGGGTAGGATGCTGAAGAGTAAACAGTAATCACAATCCAGGTTGTGAGTGCTATGGCAGGGTTAAATACCATGCTAGGGTCCTCACGAAAGGGACATGTAGCCAAGTTTTAGTGTGTCAGGGAAGGCTTCCTGGAGCAAGTAATGCTAAAGTAAACACAAAGACAAGCAGGAAAATAAGTTAGCTAGGTAAATGGAAAAGGAAGGGGTGGGTAACTTAGGGAGGAAAAGAAATATGCAGAGTTTAAGATGTACGAGAATATGGCAAATTCAGGGAACTTCAATATACTTTAAGTATCGCAGTCCTGGAAAATTAGTTTAAGGGGTTTAAACTAAGAGGTTTAACATTAGTTAAAGAACCAGAGGACAAGGAAGAAAGGATGGCTTTCAGGTAAATGACTTTAGCAACTAGGTAGACTGCGGAACAATTCACCAAGGTAGGGAACTGAAGACAGGAAGAAGGTATGGAGGAAATATGAGGAGTTATTTTGAACACATTTAATCTGAAGTGTGTCTAGGAAATACAGATGGAAATGATCTAAACACTGTTAGCCATGTGAGTTTGGAGGTTAGGAGACAGGGCTAGACTGGAGTTATAGATTTGGGAGTGATCACAAGTGACTCAATTCTATGGAAATAACAAGAAGCAAAGATTCCCCACAACCTTTAAGTTCAATGCTTTTAATTCATTACCTGAAGCATTACTATATCCTTGTCAAACATCTCACGTCTGCATTTCACATTATGGTAGTAATAAATCTAAAAAAATAAGTAATTATATTGAGTAAATAGTTTTTATTGGTTCAGGCTCTCTCTCTCTCCCAATCCTTTCCCAAAAGCATAAGTTTGTACAAGAATGTGTGCATGTGTGTGATGTGGTTTTTCTAACAACTACCTTAGTATAGATTAATTAGTTACAGATTTTCACATTACAGTGGTCATGATATGGTTCACATTTTGCAGCTAACTTGCTGGGTCTCCGAATAAAGTAAAAGGTTGTGGTCTCAGGAAGGTTAGGAGCTACCAAAAACAGGAGGAAAAAAAATCTGTTTACAGCTATACCACCCTAAATGCGCCAGATCTTGTCTGATCTTGAAAAAAAAAAAAAAAAAAAAAAAAAATTCATTCCAAGCCTATGTAAGGTCTATAAAAAGTAAAACCTCAACTTTACAGCTATATTAAAAGGACTTTATCTTTTAATTCAATTTAATTTAAATAGATAAAATCTGGATTTTTGTTTTTTAATATCCAACTTTGTTCTAAAAAATTATTTCAAGTAAAAATTATGACCACTGTTGTTCATTTCTACTTTTTATATTATTTCTTGACAAACTATGAATAAAAGTTTTAAGAAACTTTTGTTTTATCATTAAATCTTTTCAAACAATTTTAATATAGATCCTCAGCTTTCACTAAGTCTACTGAAAATTACAACCTTCATAGAAGCCAAGAATGGAATGAAAACTCTTCATAGAATTAGAACACTGACCTGGTTTACTAGAGAGAACCCATTTCTTCTCCACATTCCAGCATGTACTTGGGCACATAAAACGAGACATCTAAGAGGGTGTTCTATCAACATGGGTGGGCTAAGCTCACTCTATATATACAAAGAATAAACAGAAAACAAAAAAACCACACACATAAAATCAGTTCTAGAAAGAAGTTTGGTCGATAGGGATAAACACTTTTATAAAACACAATATAAATTATTATTATTATTATTATCATTTTGAGACAGAGTCTTACTGTCACCCAAGGGGTAGTGCAGTGGTGCGATCTCCGTCTCCCAGGTTTAAGAGATTCTCCTGCCTTAGGCTCCCGAGTAGCTGGGATTACAGGCATGAGCCAACATGCCTGGCCAATTTTTGTATTTTTAGTCAAGATGGGGACTTGCCATGTTGGCTGGGTCGGTCTTGAACTCCTGACCTCAGGTGATCCACCCACCTCAGCCTCCCAAAGTGCTGCGATTACAGGTGTGGACCACTATGCCCGGCCTTATTTATTTTAATTAAGACATGTTTGTGTGATGGTTAGTTTTATGTATCAATGTAGCAAGGCTATGGTATCCCACTTACGGTCAACACCAATCTAATGTTGCTATGAAGGTATTTTTTACACATGATTAACATTTAAATCATAGACTGGCTGGGCATGGTGGCTCATGCCTGTAATCCCAGCACTTCGGGAGGCTGAGGCAGGTGGATCACCTGAGATCAGGAGTTCGAGACCAGCCCAGGCAACATGGTGAAACCCTGTCTCTACTAAAAATACAAAAATTAGCTGGGAGTGGTGGCAGGTGCCTGTATTCCCAGCTTCTCGGGAGGCTGAGGCAGAAGAATCCCTTGAACCAAGGAGGCAGAGGTTGCAGTGAGCCGAGATCACGCCACTGCATTCTAGCCCGGGTGACAGAGTGAGACTCTGTCTAAAAAAAAACAAAAACAAAAAACCCCCAAAAAACAAATCATAGACTCTGAGTAAAGCAGATTACCCTCCAAACATGGGTGGGCTTCATCAATTCAGTTGAAGGCCTTGAGAAAAGACTGATATCCACCACGGAAGAAGGAATTCTGCCTTTATAACAGCCACTGTACTCAAGAATGCAACATCAACTCTTCCCTGGGTCTCTCCAGTCTGCCAGTCTGCTAGGCTCCCTTGCAGATTTCAGACTTGCCAGATTTCAGCCCCCATAATTTCATGAGCCAGTTCCTTACAACAAATCTCTCTCTGTGTGTGTGTGTGTATGTATGTATGTATATGCGCGCGCGCACACACACATAAATATCTTACTGGTTCTGTTCGTCTGGAGAACCCAAACTAAAAATGTGTTTCAAAGTGATTTCAAATACAAGGAACATAATAAATAGGTATTCACTTTTAAATGTTAGCACCACTTACTAGAGGTAGGAGCTCTGGAAATTTATATGCCACTTCACTTTTGCTTAATAATACATGTAAACCTGCATGAAAGAAACAAAAAACAGTATTTCTATCAGTAAAAATCATTTAGGAAAAATACCCTAAATATTCACTCAACTTTACATCTGACTTCTTTTCTCTTTACGAACCTATCAAATTACCAATTAAGATATAAAATGAACATATTCATAAGAGGCTTATTATTATTATTGCTTTTTTGAGATGGAGTCTCGCTCTGTCGCCCAGCTGGAGTGCAGTGGCACGATCTCGGCTCATTGCAAGCTCCGCCTCTCGGATTCACACCATTCTCCTGCCTCAGCCTCCCGAGGAGCTGGGACCACAGGCGCCCGCCACCACGCCTGGCTAATAGAGGCTTTTTAATGCTTCTCATGAATCTGTTATCAAAGGCACACTTAGAACTAGTCTTAGTTGTATGTACTAATACACACTGATGACATTTTAAAAGCTATTAAAACAATTTATACATATGTTACGCCAGCTTTAAGAGTTGTATTTCACTGGGCCATGGAGTTTGTTCCCATTTAAAGTACAGCAGTGAGAGATCCTTCTGGCCACTGAATGGAGAAACTGGCCCTGGAATCACGGTCCTCACTGATACTGACCTTTGAATTAAGTTCCCCAGAACTTCCGATTTAGGAGCAAAGCCTCCTTAGTTTCTAACCTCAAGGGATCCTGGCTGACTGCAACCTCCGCCTCCCAGGTTCAAGTGATTCTCCTGCCTTGGCCTCCCAAGCAGAGCAGCTGGGAGGGACTACAGGCACACTCCACCATGCCCAGTTAATTTTCTTAGTTTTAGTAGAGACGAGGTTTTGCCATGTTGGCCAGGCTGGTCTCGAACTCCTGATCTCAGGTGATCTGCTGGCCTCGGCCTCCCAAAGTGCTGGGATTACAGGGATGAGCCACCACGCCTGGCCTTCAGTTCGTTCTGAATGTGTTCTGTTTATGCTATTGCTTAAACAGAGGACACCCGTTAAAGTCTTATCAATATATACTGGCCACTTACTCAAGCCTGGTTTAAGGCTTTCTTCATCTAGGAAGACTTGTACTACTAATGCCATTCTAATAGCTTATTCTCAACATTTACTGCTCAAACTCCATTAGCACTTGCTTCAAACTGTCCAAGAACTGTTTTGTGTAGGTTTACTTAGATTTCCAACTAGATTATAAGCAGTTAGGCTAAGGTTTATCAAATATAAGAAAATGAATACTCAAAAATATTCACACAACAGCTTTGAGGGAGGTAAAAACGTAGGCAGAAATTAGCACATTTTTAGAGTATCGACTTTTTTCACTGTAGGTAACTATCAGCATTAGCTTCCTCCCATAAAATTAGGTTTTTTTTTTTTTTTTTTTTGAGACAGAGTCTCACTCAGATTTTTAAAGGCAGAAGAGATCAGTGGCTCAGTTGGAGACAGGACTCACCACACAATTTCTTTTTTTTTTTTTTTTTTTTTTTGAGACAGAGTCTCACTCAGATTTTTAAAGGCAGAAGAGATCAGTGGCTCAGTTGGAGACAGGACTCACTACTCACTTTCTTGCTTTTTTTTTTTTTTTTAATCGCATGCGCAGGGCATGCCGCACTGCGCCTGTGTGCTACTTCCCCATGCATGCCTCACTTTCTTGCCTTCTATCCAGTACTTTTCCACAACACCATGCCATTAATTGCTTGTGTTGAGGATCGACAGTTCAGTTGCTCAAAACACTTATAACAAAACTGGGCCTGAATAAGTTATAGAAATAAGACAGATTTCTTCTTACGATCATGATTTCATTCTAGGTAATGGTCTATTGTACCATTTTAATATTCATATGTCTAGGAATAACAACTTTATAAGCCTCACAGTAAGTAGTTATCTTAAATTACCATGACTTCAATAATACACCCACGGCAAGGGTCTATCAGTGGGATAATGTGATAAGTCTCAGAACAATGAAAAAAAATGCCTTCAGAATGAAAGAGGAATCATTACTACTGATCCCATGTACATTAAAAGGATAATGAAGGAATATGAACAACTCTAGGCCCACAAATCTGATAACTTAGATGAAATGGATCAATTCCTTGAAAGACACAAACTACCAAAACTCACACAAGGAGAAACAGATAACCTAAACAGGCCCATATTTATTAAAGAAATTGACTCAATAATTAGTAACCTTCCAAAAACTAAAGCATCAGATGAGATGACTTCACTGGTGAATTCTGTCAAACATTTAAGGAAGAAATGAAACAAATTCTCTATAATCTCCTCCAGAAAAAAAAAAACAAAAAACACACCCTCACATCACATTAAGCTACTGAGCCACAAACTTAACATAAACTACATATTTTACAATGAGTAAAAATACCTTCAAAATTTCTTTCTGTTCTCTGAGTTAAAATGGAACTAAAGAAAACAACAGTGTGTGAGCAAGAAAAGAATACCTAGAATCAAGAAATATGAAAGCTGAACTGAAATGAGTCTGTAGAGATGGATAAGTACATATTTAAAGACTTTGGCCATGTAAGATGGCAGCTTCAGACATTCCAGCAATTAATTACAAGTGCCTTATAAATCAACTACTTGAAAATAAAAGAATTATCACCCCATTATGGCCTTGTTCTTGACCTGTTGCATAAAAGGCTATCAATAAATATATGAAACAGCTCAGAGGGAGAGAAACAAAGAAAAGAAAACGTAGGGTGGCTTCAAGTGATTAGCAGTTGCTTAAATGACAGATAAATTTGAATGTTAATAACACAGACCTTGAAGCTGGATTCAGTGAAATGATAAAACATGTAGTATCTGTAGTTAAGTCTAAAGAAGCACTACGGTATAACAGCTATAAACATGGCCTCTGGTGCCAAACTTCCTCATAATGCCAACTGATTCTTTCTTGTTGTGTGACTTACTAAGCAAGTCACTCTCTATGCCTCTGTCTTCCCATCTGTGAAGCAAGCTTAACAATAATACCTACTTCACAGGACAATGTGATGATTGGATAAGTTAATGATGTGGAAATCACAGAATAACGTCTGGCACAAAGTATTCACAGATATTAACCACAAACAACAATTTAAAAGATAATTTTAGGGTTTTATTTTAGGGGAAAAGCTTTACCTGCAAGTAAGCGAGAAACTGGGAGATGAATGCTAACTTTTTCTTGGGAAACACAGTATCTGATAGTTTCCACTGAATGTCCACAAATGCTTAGTGTGATAGGTTGTTCACCATCAGTATAACCACCATGACACTGCATCAGTACGGTGAGACATTTCTTGTAAGCTTCAATTAACACTTTTTCCTAAAAAAGAGGGTTTTTCTGTAAGTTACTCAAAAGGTTGAGTTTCTACAACATTGAATAAGCACCTCAAATTCAATGAGTAAGTATCTCAAATAACAATACGGGCAAAACCAAACTCAATTCTCCCTCCCAAACTTGGTCCCTCTTCCAATGTCCGCCATCTCAGTGAATGATACATTTACCCATATAGTACAGAAATCTAGAAGTTATTCCAGTACCCTTCTTTCCCCTATTCCCCACTGTCCAATCTATTACCAAGCTGGTAACTTCATCTTCTAAGTTTCTCTCAAAACTTGCTACTTTTTTGTATCTCTAGTAACTCTAAGGCACTGCCAAGCATCTCTCTATTAAATTCCTGCTTTGACTCTTGCCCCCTTCGTCCATTCTCCATACAGAGCAATTTTAAAAAAACATGTAAATTGAATCATGTCACTGTATGGAGAATGGATAAAGGAGGCAAGAGTTGAAGCAGGGATTTAATAGAGAGATGGTAATCTCTAAAGGCTTCCCACTTCAATTCAAATAAAATGCAGACTGAGTGTGGTGGCTCACGCCTGTAATTCCAAGACTTCGGGAGGCCGAGGCAAGCAGATCGCTTGAGCCCAGGAATTCAAGACCAGCCTGGGCAACATGGCGAAACCATGTCTCTACAAAAAATAGAAAAATTAGCCAGGTGTGGTGGTGAGAGCCTGTTGTCCCAGTTACTCGGGAAGCTGAGGTGGGGGGCTCACCTAAGCCCAGGGAGGTCGAGGCTGCAGTGAGCCAGGATTGCACCACTGCACTCTAGCCTGGGCAATAGAGTGAGCCGTGTCTAAAAAAAAAAAAAAAAAAAAAAAAAATTATATTCAAAACTTCTTTACATGGCCAAGGCCCTGAAAAATCACTCCTGTGCCCAAATCTCTGTTCTCTACTTCTATGCTCCAACCACAGACCTTTCAATAGCTCTTAGGACGACCCTCGTCCCTGTCATCACAGACTATAATGCAGCTGTCTTCTCAGTCATGAGTATCATTTACTCTTTGTTCCATTAACTTTTACACATTGTTCAGACCTTACAGAAACCTTCCCTAACCTCATAACGTATACAGGCTGTCGTCTAGACTTTATCACCAAGGAAGGCCAAAATAATTTTAAGACACAGGACAAATGTACCAATAATACAATTTTATTTTTGAATAAATTTACAAACTACCATTTTTATATTCTCAAAGTCTAGAAGGGATTATGAAAAAAAAAAACAAAAAACAAAGATAGTTACATTAGGAAGAGACAATTTGGATTATTTCCTTCTCTATTTTTCAAGTTTTTCCTAAGGTTGTAGAATTTTAAAATTTTACTGAGTTTACAGGTGGAAAAGGAAAATACGCTGTTTAATGAACTAAGTATCACCACTATTTTCTCCAGGTCTCCCCAAAATTTACTTAGGATTCTGCTTATTCCTCCCTCTTCCACTTTCCTCCTATCTCCCGCACCTAGAAGAAACTCACATCTGAAGCACACCAGTCCTGCATCATTGAAATGACATGTGTTAATTTCATTTGTAGTGTGAAGGCTGCTTCCCACTCTGGTTCCATTTCAATATGTTGTCCTACTTGACGTGTAATTGGATCCATTCCCTTAAAGGAAGTGAAAAAACTATATATGAATGAAAATTATAGTTGTTCTTTCATATGGAAACCTAAGAAGTAATGTAGAAGAAATATATATTGATTATAAAAACATAGAAGGTATAAGTTTTAACAGGAAACTTCAAGTACTATGAAAAGTAATAGCTTTTAAAATTATGTGTTTATATAACATTCTCTAAAATATAAATTTAAAAATCCCAATAAATGTATTATTTCAGAGGTATCTTCCAAGATCTGTTTTAGGCAATAAAATACTTCAATATTTCACTGCAATAATCCTTCCTTTTTAGCTCTATTGTCTACAGAAAAAATTGTTAAAAGAAATGTGACAAGCTTTTAAAATGTTATTGAATTTATAACTGTATTTTTAATATATTAAAGTTTAAATATTATGTCCTAATATGCAATTAAAAGTTTTCATAGAGCCTGAAAGAAAGCAAAACAATAAATAGCTTTTAATTAAAATTACTGTTCAGAAACTAGCCTAACTATTCTAGTATGTCAGAACTTAATAAATAATAGAGAATACAGAATACTTCAAGTATCAAAAATGACCAAAGTAGCTACTGTTTTTATAGATACATGAAAAACATAGTAGTATTATAATAAATTAAACACCCATGAACTACCATCCAACCTAGGAACTAGAATGGTAAGTCAGGCCAGACATGATGGTGGCCCAGGCCTGTAATCCCAGCACTTTGGGAGGCCGAGGCGGGTGGATCACTTGAGGTCAGGAATTCAAGACCAGCCTGGCCAACATGGCGAAACCCTGTCTCTACTAACAATACAAAATTAGCCGGGTGTGGTGGCATGCACCTGTAATCCCAGCTACTCAGGAGGCTGAGGCAGAAGAATCACGAGGCAGATGTTGCAGTGAGCCAAGATCCCACCACTGCACTCCCGCCTGGGCGATAGAGCAAGACTACACCTCCAAAATAAATAAAAAAATAAATAAAAATAAATTCAAATAAATAAAAGTAAAAATGATAAGTCAACTTTGGTCATTCCTTTTCTTAAGAAAGCCAGGTGGCTACTAAAGAAATCATAATAGTACTTGCTCAGATTTTTAGAGACGTCACCTATCTTCTTACAGTTATAACTGGTTAAATATACCTGTTCGTTTCTACTTCTAGATTCTGTTTTGTATATAAGGATGTTTCCTAAAAAGAGAATTAAACAGGGGAAAAAGGTCTACACTGTATTATATAAATATCACATGAAGGAGAGAAAAAGAAACATGGAAACATTAAAAAGCAAAATCAAAAATGACTACAGTTTCTCAAATAATCTGACTATACTTCCAAGAAAGCATATTAAAAAAATAAACTTGTAACCTCTAAAGAAAGAACATTAGTGGAAACTAAAGAAATACAAAAGTAGCTGGCGCAGTGGCTCATGCCTGTAATCCCAGCACATTGGGAGGCTGAGGCAGGCGGACCATTTGAGGTCAGGAGTTTGAGATCAGCCTGGACAACAGGGTGAAACCTCGTCTCTACTAAAAATACAAAAAATAGCTGGGCATGGTGGCAGGTGCCTGTAATCCCAGCTACTCAGAAAGCTGAGGTCAGAGAATCACTTGAACCCAGGAGGCGGAGGTTGCAGTGAGTCAAGATTGTGCCATTGTACTCCAGCCTGGGCAACAGAGAAACTCTGTATCAAAAAACAAAACAAAACAAAAAACCCCCAAAATTGGCCAGGTGCGGTGGCTCATGCCTGTAATCCTAGCACTTTGGGAGGTTGAGGTGGGTGGATCACTTGAGGTCAGGAGTTCGAGATCAGCCTGGACAACTTGATGAAACCCCGTCTCTATTAAAAATACAAAAAATTGGTCGGGCGCAGTGGCTCATGCCTGTAATCCCAGCACTTTGGGAGGCCAAGGCGGGTGGATCACGAGGTCAGGAGATCGAGACCATCCTGGCTAACATGGTGAAACTCTGTCTCTACTAAAAATAAAAAAAAAAAAAAATTAGCCGGGCATGGTGGCGGGCGTCTGTGGTCCCAGCTACTCGGGAGGCTGAGACAGGAGAATGGCGTGAACCGGGGAGGCGGAGTTTGCAGTAAGCCGAGATTGAGCAACTGCACTCCAGCCTGGGTGACAGAGCGAGACTCCGTCTCAAAAAAAAAAAAAAAAAAAGGAGTCTCAAAACAAACAAACAAACAAAAAAACGAATAAATTAGCTGGTGTGGTGGTGTATACCTGTAACCTCAGCTAATTCAAGAGGCTGAGGCAGGATATTCACTTCAACTCTGGAGGTGGAGATTGCAGTGAGCTGAGGTTGTGCCACTGCACTCCAGTCTGGGTGACAGAGTGAGACTCCATCTCATAAACAAAACAAAACAGAACAACCAACACAGAAAAAACCCAAGAGCAGTAGATGCCAGAATCTTTGCTGGGATCTCCTTTGCTCTATACCTTTCTAAGAATCCCCAATTAAAGAGGAGCTTCCTGGTCCAAACTGCAGCCATCCAAATTGATCTTTTGGAAATGTGCAAAAAATGAAAAGATGCGCAGACAGAAAGCTGTTCATTTCAATGAACAACAACAACAACAAAAACAATGAAGCCGGGCCTGGGCCTGTGCCTGCGCCTCTAGTCCCAAGCAACTCAGGAGGCTGAGGCAGGAGAACTGCCAGAGCCCAGGAGTTCAAAGGTATAGTACACTCTGGTTGTGTCTATGACTAGCCACTATACTCCACCCTGGGCAACACAGGGAGACCCCCATCTTGTAAAAAAATAAAAATAAAAATAAAAATAAAACAAAAAGAGAAAAAGAAAAAAAAAAAAGGAAAAAGAAAAGTGTAATAGTTTTTACATACCTGCATACATTTTAGTAATTCCAAAAAGGCATCAAACCCTTCTAGGAACTTCTGCCTCAGCTCATCTGACCATTCAGTTGGTTTGCTAATTAACACATACCTGAACAAGATAAAAGTGACAGTGGCAATTAACATAAACATCGACTTTCTATAAATTGCAACTGGTTTAATAATTAAACGAAAACTTACTTGAGATCTAAAATAAGGCTCTGTACTCTCCTAAATTTGAAGGCTTGTAAAGCAGTGTATCGTTCAAACTGAAATCTGCCATGGGCATCTCGATGTCTCAAATGATCCATAAAAGTCTTAATGATAATGCTCATCAAGTTTTCTTCTGTGATGAGCATTCGAGCCTAAAAACAAAGTTTATCAGAGTGCATGGTAATCAAAAACTAGGTACTAAGAAAACTAAAAAAAGTCACCAACATTGTTTAGCTCCGTCAGTTTAAACCTTTTTTAACACAACTATATATCACAAATGCATTACTGTGTATTTCTAAATAACAATTACTTACTCCAATTGCCACGTGTATGAAGCAACAATTATACCAGATGCCAGAAAGATGTTAGAAGACAGTTCCAAGGCTCATTATTCAAAGATAATTCAGGGTGGGGGCTCTGAATCAGGCTGCAAATTGTCCTTAACTGAGACATTTAGACACCTATAATGGTATGGTATAATTATTCTAGGATCCAGAGGTTTATGCATAGATTCTCTAGAACTCAGTATGAAACAATATTTTCTCTTAATTTCCTTAGTTGAGATTTATTTTTTGTGTCTTTGTGTGTGCGTGTGTGTGTGTGTGTGTATATATTTTATTTTGAATAAGAAAATATATGTAAATGATACTAAATGCAACAGGGAAAAGTAAGTCAGTAAGTCTCCTAGCTCCTGAGGTCTTTTTTCTAAAGGCAAACCTGTTAATAGTAGCTCCTTGCATATTCTTGAAGAGATGGTATGGGTATATGTATTTTATGTATATATAATTGCAGAGCTTGTGTTTTTATATATGTATAAAATTATAGAGTATATACTATATAACACACACATAAATAAAATGCATAAATTACATAAAGTGTATATTAAGTATACACAAGTATATATAATTATATCTATCTCTTTCCCACAAAGGATAGCATGTTATACTGTTTTGTACATTTTTTACCTACAAATTACATACATTGTTCATACAAATGTCCGTCATTCTTTTTAACCAGGTCTACTTTTGTATCAGATTTAAATTTAGCCAGGCTTTTACTGGTCAGACATTTGGGTTGTTTCTAGTTTTATGCCATTAAAAAAGATGTTGCAACAAATATCCACTGTGTATAGTTGTAGGAATATTTATAGAATAATTTCCTGCAAGTGGAAGTAATCGGTTAAAGAGTATGCACATAATAAATTTTAATGATATCACCATTGTTCCCACAAAAAGGCTTAACAATTTCTATTTCTACCTACAATGTGGGCCATGCCCTTTCATAACCTCCATAACACAATATAACTTCAAACATTTTGCTCTTTGCCATTTTGATGGTGTTAATCTGCCCTAGTAGAGTCAGAAAGTCTAATGTTACTTTGAATACTTAATTTTTTACTCTGATACAAAAGATCATGGATCCTCCCCCTGACATTTTCCAGCCTCAATAGCTAATCTCCCCTAGGATTCTAGAGTGTTACTGATACTGGGTGACAACTTAAACAGGTCTCACATAAGTCAAGATCAGGTAATTAGCAACAGAAAAAGTTTCATCAAAAAGTAGAATAAGGCCAGGTGCTGTAGCTAACGTCTGTAACATCAGCACTTTGGGAGGCTGAGTCAGGCAGATTATTTGAGCCCAGGAGTTCGAGACCAGCCTGGGCAACACAGTGAAACCCTGTCTCCATAAAAAATAAAACAATTAGCTGGGTGTGGTGGCATGTACCTGTATTCCCAGCTACCCAGGAGGCTGAGGTGGGAAAATCACCGGCGCCTGGGAGGTCAAGGCTGCAGTGAGCCATGATCACGCCACTTCAGCCTGCGTGACAGAGTGAGACCCTGTCTCAAAAACAAAAAACAAAAAAAATCCCAAATAAGTAGGAACAAAAATGCAGAAGACAGAAGTCTAAGAATATACTAAAACTGTATTCTAATATAGATGTTAAATTCTAAAGTCAGCAGATAAGTAGAAAATCTATACAGTTAAATATACCTTTGAAAACTTCAGGACTTAAAGCAGGCAGTAAAAGGAAGTTTGGTGGAGAGACAACTTAATATTGTTAGAATGTAAACCCCCACCAATCAAGGCACTCGTTAGCATTTTTAGTTTCAGGTGAATGTTAACAGAGATGGTTCACATACTGCACTTTCGGATTGGATTTTAATTCTTTATGGGGTGTCGAAAAAAAAATAGGCTGGGTGCAGTGCTTTATGCCTGTTATCCCAGCAAGCGAGGCCGAGGTGGGTAGATCACCTAAGGTCAGGAGTTCGAGACCAGCTTGGCCAACATGGTGAAACCCTGTCTCTACTAAAAAACACAAAGATTAACTGGGCACGGTGGCGGGCTCCTGCAATCCCAGCTACTCGGGAGGTTGAGGCAGAACTGCTTGAACCCAGGAGGCAGAGATTGCAGTGAGCCAAGATCATGCCATTGTACTCCAGCCTGGGCGACAGAGCAAGACTCTCTCAATTAAAATAATAATAATAATAAAATAATAGGGTGGTTCATTACTACGACGACGACAACGACGACTACTACTAGTACTACTACTACTAGGGTGGTTCATTACTAATGTCCCATTAAAACAAGGAAGTAGCTGGCCACAGTGGCTCATGTCTATAGTTCCAGCTACTTGTGAGGTTGAGGTTGAGGACTGCTTGAGCTCAGGATTTCGAGGCCAGCCTGGGCAACAAGCAAGGCCTTGACTCTTAAAAACAAACAAAAACCCAAAAAACCAAACCAAAACAAAAACCAGCGGAGTTATTCAGGCATTTCTACTTCTAAAAGATAACAAAAGAAGCACATTTTTCAAAGTTACAAAGAGAAAAGAAAAATAAAAGACCTTAGGTTCTCAGCTTTATCACCTTATCCTAAGAAATTTTTGCTAACCTTTCAAAGTAATTTTCAACATTAAATACCAAACATTATTTGGTATTTATTCTTGGTATATATTTCTTGTACTTAACACCCTACAACATTATTATTATTATTTTTTGAGACACAGTTTTGCTTTGTCACCTAGGCTGGAGTGCAGTGGCATAATTTTGGCTCACTGCAACCTCCTCCTCCAGGGTTCAAGTGATCCTCCCACCTCAGTCTCCTAAGTAGCTAGGATTACAGGTGTGTGCCACCACGCCTGGCTAATTTTTAATATATATTTAGTAGAGACAGGGTTTCACCAAGTTGTCTAGGCTGGTCTTGAAGTCTTGACCTCAAGTGATCTGCCTGCCTTGGCCTCCGAAAGTGCTGGAATTACAGGTGTGCGCCACCACGCCTGGCCTTTCCTAATGTTTATGCCTACAATTCACTTTGCTTTAAAAAGCATTACCACTATCAGTCAGGCACAGTGGCTCATGCTTGTAATCTGAGCACTTTGGGAGGCTGAGGTGGGTGGATCACCTGAGGTCAGGAGTTCCAGACTAGCCTGACCAACGTCGTGAAATCCCCTCTCTACTAAAAATAAAAAAATTAGCCGGGTGTGGTGGTGGGCACCTATAATCCCAGCTACTCGGGAAGCTGAGGCTGGAGAATTGCTTGAATCCAGGAGGCGGAGGTTGCAGTGAGCCGAGATCGTGCCACTGCACTCCAGCCTGGGTGACAAGAGCGAAATTCTATCTCAAAACAAAAACAAAAACAAAAACAAAATTACGACTTACTTATATTATAGCTTTTATTCATTTTATATGATTCATATTCAATTTTGTATTGCAAGGCTCATGACCCATTTAACAGCATATTCAAAATGGGCTAAATTCTTCCATAAGACTCTGAAAAACACAACTGAATAATAATCATCATCTATGCCTATACTTTTAAACTAAACATGCCATAGCATACAGGGATAATGCGGATTGAACACATATTTAATAAATAAGAATAACTATGATACTCTTATCACTTGAATTATAAGCACTGTTTTCTTTTCTTTTTTTTTTTTGAGTCAGAGTCTCACACTTGTCACTCAGACTAGAGTGCAGTGGCATGATCTTGGCTCACTGCAACCTCCACCTCATGGGTTCAAGCAATTCTCCTGTCTCAGCCACCCGAGTAGCTAGGATTACCAGCATCTGCCACCATGCCCAGCTCATTTTTTGTATTTTTAGAAGAGACGAGGTTTCACCATGTTGGCCAGGTTGGTCTCAAACTCCTGACCTCAAGTGATCCTCCCACTTTTGCCTCCCAAAGTCCTGGGAATACAGGCATGAGCCACTGTGCCCAGCCAGTACTAAGTCTTGACCAAACTAAAAATGAAGACTGTGTTAATTGTAAGGTAATTGTGATTCAAAAGATACCGCTGCTATAAAACATTCCACTAATATCTAGCGCAAATTATTTTTAACCAGGAGTGTGCATAATAATTATTAAGAGTTTTTTTTTTTTTTTAAAGAACTATAAGAGTACTCTTCTGCTTTCAGTCATGATGCAGTAGCTTGAGGCTGACCAACATTTCCACCAAGAACAACTAGAAAAGCTTAATAAAAGTAAACAAAAAGTTTGAAATCACTAGAGAGCTGCTGAGACAAGGACTCCAGGAGAGAAAACCAGGGAGAAAGGGAACTGCACAAGGAGGCGAGCCAGCATTCTGCAGCTGCTTTTCCCTCAGCATTTGTCTATTCTGGGAGTGGGGTAAGAGGGGATTAAAGATCCCAAGAAAAAACCAAAACTACCTTTGCAAAAACTGTAACAGTGAGAAAATTATGACAATTAAAGAGATCTGACCTAACTGACTTCATCTTGCCTTTAATCTCCAGAACTGCCCTTATTCATTCCTGGGTGCAGCTCAAACTAACTTTGGGAGGAATGTGGTTTACAGTTTAACTTTAAAACAAAGACTTTAAAACAAAGGCTGGGTGTGGTGACTCATGCCTGTAATGCTAGTACTTTGGGAGGATGGGGTGGGAGGATCATTTGAGCCCAGGAGTTCAAGACCAGCCCAGGCAACATAGCAAGACATTGTCTCTACTAAAAATAAAAGATAAAAAACTTAGCCAGGTGTGGTGGCGCACACTTGTAGTCCCAGATACTCAGGAGGCTGAGGCAGGAGGTTGGCTCACACTTGGGCGGTCGAGGCTGCAGTGGGCCACGATTGCACCACCGCACTCTAGTCTGGGCAACAGAGCGAGACCCTGACTCAAAAAACAAAACAAACCAA